CTGGGAGCCCCAGGAGGCCCCAGAGAGCTTCAGGAAGCCGCAAGACGCCCAGGACAGGCCCCAGGGGTCCCCAGGAGATTCCCAGGAGGCTCCCAGGAGGCCCCAGGAGGCTCCCTATCAGAACGTGCCAAGTTAATACACATCCGGTGTTGATTCGTTGATTTTTCCTGCTCTTGTGGCCCTTTTGGAGGGCCCCGACGGCCACATGTTAGACATCCCCCCCCCTGGGAGCCCCAAGAGGCTTCAGGAAGCCCCAGGTGGGGTCCAGGAGGCCACAGGAGGCCCAGGAGGAAGCTCCAGGAGGTCACCAGGAGGCCCCAGGAGGCCCCAGGAGGCCCCCGCAACTCGGAGCTCTGAGACGCCGCGCTCGAGGTGGTCCGGCTCGTTTCGCCTGAGACTTCCTCGCAGCACGTTTCGCCCGAGACATCGTCGCAACTCTGGGGTCCGAGATGCCGCGCGAGAGGTGGTCTGGCCTGTTTCGCCTGAGACATCCTCGCAACTCTGGGCTCCGAGATGCCCTGCGCGAGGTGGTTCGGCCAATCTCGCCCGAGACATCCTCGCAACTCTGAGCTCTGAGATGCCGTGCGCAAGGTGGTCCGGCCCGTTTCGCACAAGACATTCTCGCAACTCTGAGCTCTCCGATGCTGCGCAAGAGGTAGTCCAGCCTGGGGGCCCAGAAGACCACATGTTTCATATCCCCCCTGGGACCCTGGGGCTCCCAGGAGGCCCCCTATCAGAACGTATCAAGTTAATACATATCTGGTGTCGATTCGTTGATTTTTCCTGCTCTTGTGGCCCACTCCCTATTTTGGGGGCCCCGACGGCCACATGTTAGATATCCCCCCCTGGGAGCCCCAAGAGGCTTCAGGAAGCCCCAGGTGGGGTCCAGGAGGCCACAGGAGGCCCAGAAGGAAGCTCCAGGAGGTCACCAGGAAGTCCCAGGAGGCCCCAGGAGGCCCCCGCAACTCGGAGCTCTGAGACGCCGCGCTCGAGGTGGTCCGGCCCGTTTCGCCTGAGACTTCCTCGCAGCACGTTTCGCCGAAGACATCGTCGCAACACCGGGGTCCGAAATGTTGCGCGAGAGATGGTCCAGCCCATCACGCTGGAGACATCCTCGCAACTCTGGGCTCCGAGATGCCCTGCGCGAGGTGGTCCGGCCCATCTCGCCTGAGACATCCTCGCAACTCTGAGCTCTGAGATGCCGTTTGCAAGGTGGTCCGGCCCGTTTCGCACAAGACATTCTCGCAACTCTGAGCTCTCCGATGCTGCGCAAGAGGTGGTCCAGCCTGGGGGCCCAGAAGACCACATGTTACATATCCCCCCTGGGACCCTGGGAGCCCCAGGAGGCCCCAGAGAGCTTCAGGAGGCCGCAGGACGCCCAGGACACGCACCAGGGGTCCCCAGGAGATTCCCAGGAGGCTCCCAGGAGGCCCCAGGAGGCCCCCTATCAGAACGTGTCAAGTTAATACACATCCGGTGTCGATTCGTTGATTTTTCCTGCTCTTGTGGCCCCCCCTCCATTTGGGGGCCCCGACGGCCACATGTTAGATGTCCCCCCCTGGGAGCCCCAAGAGGCTTCAGGAAGCCCCAGGTGGGGTCCAGGAGGCCTTAGGAGGCCCAGGAGGAAGCCCCAGGAGGTCACCAGGAGGTCCCAGGAGGCCCCAGGAAGCCCCCGCAACTCGGAGCTCTGAGACGCCGCGCTCGAGGTGGTCCGGCCCGTTTCGCCTGAGACTTCCTCGCAGCACGTTTCGCCCGAGACATCGTCGCAACTCTGGGGTCCGAAATGCCGCGCGCGAGGTGGTCCAGCCCGTTACGCTGGAGACATCCTCGCAACTCTGGGCTCCGAGATGCCGTTCGGGATGTGAGGAGGAGGAGGAGGAGGAGGAGGAGGAGGAGGAGGAGGCATGTTTTAACATGCCATGCCAGCCCGCACTGGACGGGCACGCAATCGACCTTGGAAACCGCAGTGGGTCTAAAAACCCTGTTTGGGGATACTGCACTCCGGCTATATTTTTTTTTAGTGCAGTCGGGCCGTTGACCGAAGGAACCCTAAATAAGGAACGAGGCCACTTTTTTCCCATAGTTAAACTTCGACTCCCCATGGAAAACCCAGTGCAAACTGTAAAACAATCAGGGAACACCGAGCCCCTCCCCAACGAAAAGGGCTCCTTCTTCAGCGCCCCGACTGCACGGGGCCCAGCTGGAGGTCCCGACCCCTTCCCCGGCACCGGCTTCTCGTCCTGAGGCGCTCCTTGACGCTCCCGAGGCCCGGCGAGGGCCCCCGGAGGCAGAACCTGGCCACAGACCTCCCGCCCCGAAGAGTTCACGACGCGAGCACGTCTGGGCTGGCATGGGCTTTCCGCTGTGCTTGGGACCTCCCGCGCCCCGGAAGCATTGCACTGTAGTGCACTGCGCGCGAAAATCCAGCAACGCATCTGGGCCCCGGAATGTATTGCATGCTCCAAATGTATTCCAACCCACGAATATATATATATATATATATATATATGTATATATGTATATATGTATATGTATATGTATATATGTATATATATATGTATATGTATATATATATATATACCAGTCGTGCTACGAATATGTATATGTATATCTATATATAAGTAGATATGAATATATCTATATATATATATATATATATATACATAACGGCAAGCTCGACGTCGAAGTCAACGACTGCAATCGCTAACCTAAACAGCAGCCGGGATCTGGCAAGGCTGGCCGTGGCGGAGCAATGGAGGGAGGGCACCCGAAAACACGAATAGATTGCACAACCCCACAGATAGATTGCACCACATCTATTGCACCACCCCCTCGTCGCTGGACCCCCTTTTGTTTGGACGCCCGAAATGGGTACGGAATGAATGGGTACAAGGCCCAACAACAAATGCTGTCCCAAACCGACCGCGGCCGCTGTGGGGCGGGCGGCCTCCTGTCTGGAATGGACACAGGCCGCGGCGGCGTGGACAGCGAGCCCTGTTCAGAGTGGACAGGAACTGCTGTTGGGCATTGTAGTGCGGGATGACGATTCAGAAAAAAATTGGAGAGAACGATAAAAAAATAGTTTTCTGCGATGTCTGCCTAATTTCCTGACTGGAGGACAACGATTAACAAAAATAGTTTTCCAGCCCGCGGCCTGTTTTTTCTAATCGTCATCCCGGGCGCCGCCGCGTGAACACGACCCCCGGTCCTGTATTAACCGTCATCCTCCCTTACCCATTCCTTCCGTGCCCATCTCGGGCGTCCAGATTTTGGGCCAACCCGGTTCTGATGGCTTTCCGCTGTGCTCGGGACCTCCGGCTCCCCTCCTCCTCCTCCTCCTCCTCGGGGGCGGCCAAGAGGGGGGTGTCCAAGAGGGGGGGGGTGCAAATCATGACCGGCGGCATGTGCGCGGCCCAGCGGGGGGGGGGCCTGGGACGTAATATAAAATAAGAAGAGGCGCCATGAAATCTGAGGATAAATCATGGCCCGCGCCATGCAATCCACCCCCCCCTAGTCATCACCCCCCTTTTTTCCGCTCCCGATCCTCCCAGCTCACGTAGCTGATTTTCCCCGCGCCTCCCGGCGCCGGAAGCGGCTATGCATCGAGGAATGGGCCCCTCGGTGAGGCCGAAACCAGCTGCATGCAGCAAATTTCGTACCCCCCCCTTTCCCAATCCCCCCTTTCGCCCCCGACACGATCCTCCTCCTCCTCCTCCTCCTCCTCCTCCTCCTCCTCCTCCTCCTCCTCTCTCCTCCGGGTTTCGCTGTGCTCGGGACCTCCGGGAGAGGCACAGCGGCAAACCGAAAACGAGGAGGAGGAGGAGGAGGAGGAGGAGGAGGAGGAGGAGGAGGAGGAGGGAGGAGGGGAGGAGGAGGAGGAGGAGGAGAGGAGGAGAGGAGGAGGAGGAGGAGGGAGGAGGGGGAGGAGGCGCGGTGCTCGGGACCTCCCGCTCCCGCGCCTCCCCACGGGACCCCCCGCGGGCGGCACCGCGGCGGGCACACGCGCGCCGCGCATAGCCGCCTCGGGGCGCCGCCCCATCCGAGGCGCGCGCAGGGGCCGGCCCGCCTCGGCCCCCGCCCTGCCGCGCGGACGCCCGGCTTCTCCCCCGCGGCGCTGCGACGCGTCGCCCCGGACGTGCACGAACGAAGGATTGCAAAAAAAAACGAAGGATTGCAACAAAAACGAAGGACTGCAATCCTTCGTTTTTTTTTTTGTTGCAGTCCTTCGTTCAAGTGAGGGCGGGGGGGGGCACGATTTGTTGCCCCTCCCGGCGGCAGAAGCAGCGTCGTAAAAAAGAATCGGGGCGGGAGGTGCTTGGCGAATTTCGGCCTCCGGGGGCCCTCGCCGGGCCTCGGGAGCGTCAAAAAACGACTCCGGGGGCCCTCGCCGGGCCTCGGGAGCGTCAAAAAACGACTCAGGATGAAAAAGCGGTCCCGGGGAAGGGGTCGGGACTTCCAGGGGCCCCGTTCTCACAGAAATCAAGACGTGAAAACATCGTGAAAACATCGGGGCGGGAGGTGTTTGGCCACTCTCGTGGACCAGAAAAACAAAAAGGGCACCACCCCACGGCCCCACGGGCCGCAGCGAACACCAGGCCGTCCGGCGTGGGTTTTTGTGCATGGTGCACGCTGCGGCCCCCGATGGGCCGCAGCGAAACATGGAGGGCCGCAGGTAGGGTGGTGTCGTTTGATGTTTGGCCGATTTCGGCCTCCGGGGCCCTTGCTGGGCCTCGGGAGCGTCAAAAAACGATTCAGGATGAAAAAACGGTCCCAGGGAAGGGCGTCGTGAAAAAAAATCAGGGCGGGAGGTGTTTGGCGAATTTCGGCCTCCGGGGGCCCTTGCTGGGCCTCGGGAGCGTCAGAAAACGATCCAGGACGAAGAAGCGGTCCCAGGGGAAGGGGTCGGGACTGCCAGGGACCCCGTGCGAAAAAAATATCAAGACGTCCCCCCTCACCCTCGTTCATACCCACCCTCGCTGCTCTTGGCCCCTCCGCGCTCTCTTCTACCTCCTCCTTCGCTCCTCGTTCCTCGGGGAGGCAGAGCAGATCCCTTTTTCAAGACCTCTGCTTCTCCAACTCCGCGAGCTCAGCGCGCAAGCCGACTTCGCCTTCGAGCCGTTCCTCGTCCTCCTCGGCCAGCTCGTCCCACGCTTTGTCTTTGAGCTGCTCAAGCTCGGCGAGTTGCGCTCTCAGGGACCTCAGTCTTCTCTCGTGATCCCGCTCTTTGACTTGAACTTCCCGGCAGAGCTCCTTTCTCCGCTGCCTCTCCTGCTCCACCCTCAGACCCTCCTCTCTCTTCAGTGCCCTCTGAAGCTTTGCCTCCTCTGTCGCGAGGGCCGCCGCCGTCGTGCTGTTCAGTGGGCACTCCGGCGCGTGGCACGAGATATAACGAAACGTGACGTTTATGCGAGGCTTCGCGCGGTCTCTGATGCAGCGCGAGATCTTGTGAATGTAGTGTTTCTGGAAAAGGCCCTCCATCGTGCATATGTCTCCGTGGCCCAGGTCCACCCTGCACAGGCTCTCGCGGTCAGGAACCAGCCTGGACTCGGAGCTGCCTTTGAGCAAGGCCGCGTTGAAACGGCGGGCGTCCCCGAGAGACACAGAGAAAATCGTGCAGTCTCCGTACCGCCCACCGAACAGCTTTTCGTTGTCGGAATGCCAGCCGACTGCTTGAGCGCCGTTCTCGTAGTAGTTCAGATTGGCGCTGTTCGGCAAGTGTGCGCCACAAATCTCCCCCAACCACCGCTGCGCCAGCTCAAGAAACCAATCCGGCATCGGCTGCGGATCAACACTTTCGCTGCCGTAGCGATATTGGCAACGACAGGCCCCCGAAACGTACCATGCTGTCTTTCGGGTCGTCTTCCCCTTGCCATCCCGAAGCTCGCGCCACGGCACGAACTCAGGATCGGCCAAAATATCGAAATCGCTCTGGAGAACGTTGGGGCTGCCGCGCCGTATCGTCAGCCACGACCGGAGCCTCTCATTGGCTATCATTGGGGGGCGGAAAGATACGGATACGTGTTGTCCCCGGACCTCTCTTGGGGTGCGTTCTGACCAGAATTTCGAGGCGAATCCAGCGGTGACAACGAGGATTCCCCAGGAGGACCAGGAAAGGCCGAAAACGAAGGGGGACAACACGTATCCGTATCTTTTTGTCCCCCGATATCAACTCCTCCCATGCTCCAGGCTCCGGTGAGCTGTCGCGGACAAGAGCGAGCGGGCGCTCCGTCCGACTGGGCTCCTGCGCCCATTCGAGGATCTCATTGTCCAACGGCTTCCCCGTGTAGTCCTCGTCGGAGAGGTCGCCCCGGGGGCCGTGGCCGCGAGCGTCTCGGCACTGCATGCGGCCTCGAGGAGGAGGAGCAGGAGGAGGAGGAGGAGGAGGAGGAGGAGGAGGAGGGGGAGGGGGAGGAGGAGGGGGAGGAGGAGGAGGAGGAGGAGGAGGAGGAGGAGGAGGAGGAGGAGGAGGAGGAGGAGGAGGGGCACCTTGGGCCAGGGACCTGCGCTCCAGCCGTGCACGCCCTGTGAGCAGCGCCTCGGGCCAAAACAGCTACAGCGAAGACGTTGCATCGAGGACCACTTTGGGCTCAGGACGGGCTCGCTGATCCTTTGGCTCTTTCGCTGTAAGAGGCCCCCCCGAATGGGGTCCGAGCGGATGGGGTCGGAAGATCGCGCCGCATCGGTGATGCATCGACGATGCATCGACGATGCATCGGCGACTGCGGTGGTGCATTGCCGACGCCAGCGTGGAGAAAGCCTGGCTCCACATCGAGCTGCATCGCCGATGCTGCATCGACGATCCGGCGCGATCCTCCGATCCCCATCCATTCCGACCCCATCGAGGCCTAGAGGTGGGGAAAACAGAAGGTACCAAAACCACTACTCGCAGGTCGGGCAGATCCTCCTACAGGCGGATTCTGGACGACAGACAGGAAATACTCAGAACTATTGAAACCTAGTTGAAACATCCCCCCCAGAGTATCTCATATTAGCTCTGGAATGGTCCTCCTGCAGAGGGACGGGCCCGACCTGAGGCTGCTCCCCTGACCTCTCCCGGGGTGCGCCCTGACCAGACCTGCGACTGCGAATCCAGCGGTGGCCACGCGGGCCAGACCGACCAGCCATAACTGGGGGAGCTGTGGTCCTTACCCCCCTGGGGGAACCCATTGCATCGACGATCTCTCGAGAGGGGTGTCGAAATCGATGGGTCCCCCAGGGGGGTAAGGACCACAGCTCCCCCATATGTGGCTGGCCTGTCAGAGGCCCGGGAAGGCGACAACGCGTCAGGGGCAGCACTGGGCCGGGCATGTCCCCCTAGAGGCGGCTGTTGGGCGAAACAGCGAAAATGGCCAAACCTACGCCAAAATAGCCAAAAATAGAAGAACAATCGTCCCCAGACTAGTTTTTGACTATCTTTGAATATTCCCCCTGTAGAGGGACACGCCCGACTGAAGGGTAGCAGTATCGTATCTGTTCCTCCTCCGAAGAATTGTTGTTACCTTGGCGCTCCTCGTGCACCTTGGCGGCCCCCCAAAGTGGCCTCCCTACTTACTGTCGAGACATGATCGCGTCGTGAAAGAACTCAGGCCGGGATTTTTTTCGCCGTTGTTGACCTCTAGAGGCCCTCACCAGGCCTCGGGAGCGTCAAAAAATGACTCAGGACGTAAAGCCGGTCCCAGGGAAGGGGTCGCGACGTCCAGGGACCCCGTACTACAAAAATCGGGATGTCGCACGTCTGGGTCTCCAGCACTCCTCCTCTGACGGCTCTTCCGCCCAGCAGGCATCCGCTCAAAATCGCGCCTCCCGGACCCCCCCCTGCAGTCCATCTCGACCCGTGCCTCGAGGCAGATCCAGCCGTGGCAACGAGAAGCCTCCGGGAGGCCGGGCAATTTTAACGAAACGCGCTAATTCTGCGCACCACGGAGGTGCCGGGAGGGCTCACGGCGGTGGCGCTGCCCTTTTCTATAAGGTGGAGGCTCCCGGCTGCTCTGCCTCGCGCCTCACAGCGACGCACCGCTTCACGCTGCCTTGCCTCGGCTTGGTGCTAAGACGACGCCAAACGATAAGAATGGGTGAGAATGAATCGGGAATCTGTGAGATCCGGCGAATCCGCCGCGGCCTTCTGAGAGCGTTCTGGAAGGTTCTGAGAGCGCTCCGGAACGCCCTGGAACGGATTTGTCCTCGCCCTGGCCCCGTCTGATCCTCCTCCTCCTCCTCCTCCTCCGTCCTCGTCGCCGTCGTGGTCGATCTCCTTCGTCGTCGTCGTCGTCGCCGTCGTCGCCGTCGCCGTCATCGTCGCCGTCGCCGTCATCGTCGTCATCGTCGTTTTCGTCGTCGTCGTCGTCGTCGTCGTCGTCGTCGTCGTCGTCGTCGTCGTCGATCGTCGTCGTCGTCGTCGTCGTCGTCGTCATCGTCGCCGTCGTCGATCGTCGTCGTCGTCGTCGATCGTTCGCTTCCTGGCCGAGCAGCGCCCCGAGCGCGCAGAGGACCGCCAGCAGCGCCGCCGCGCGGCCCGCCCGCGGCGGCCTGTCAGGCCACCGCCGGCCGCCCCGCCTCGCGGGCCGCAGGTGCGGAGGGGCGGTCGCCACAAGGGGAGGAGAAGAAAGAGGAGGAGGACGAGGAGGAGGAGGAGGAGGAGGAGGAGGAGGAGGAGGAAGAGGAGGAGGAGGTGGAGGAAGAGAGGAGCAGGGGCAGGAGAGGAGGAGGTAGGAGGAGGAGGAGGAGGAGGAGGAGAGGAGGAGGAGGAGGAGGCAGTGGGCAGGAGGGGGAGGAGGAGGAGGAGGAGGAGGAGGAGGAGGAGGGAGGAGGGAGGAGGAGGAGGAGGAGGAGGAGAAGGAGGAGGAGGAGGAGGAGGGAGGAGGAGGAGTTTTCAACATCAACCGCCGAGAGCGCAGCCAACCTGCATGAGGAGGAGGAGGAGGAGGAGAGGAGGAGGAGGAGGAGGAGTGGAGGAGGATAGGAGGAGGAGGAGGAGGAGGAGTTCTTCAACATCAACCGCCGAGAGTGCCAGCCACCTGGATGAAACTGCGCCAAGCAGAGATAGCAGCAGGAGGCGTGATGGGGCGAGCGCAAGTGGCGCCTGCCCCTCCCCCCAGCACCTGGACGACGGAGCCGCAGGGGGCCCACAGCCCCGCCTTCCAGGGCCAAGAGAGGAGGGCGGGCCACCGCATCCACCCAGAAGGAAGAAAACAAGCAAGGCCGTCCCAGACTAGGTGGAGTCGTCGTCGTCGGTTGATGTTGAAGAACTCCTCCTCCTCCTCCTCCAACTCCTCCTCCTCCTCCTCCTCCTCCTCCTCATGCAGGTGGCTGGCGCTCTCGGCGGTTGATGTTGAAAAACTCCTCCTCCTCCTCCTCCTCCTCCTCCTCCTCCTCCTCCTCCTCTCTTAACAGGACCGGGCGGACCGACTCAGGCCTTGCGGAGATCCCTGCCTCGGCCACCACCTGTGTAGCAGCAGCACCGGGTGCAGGATGCAAGGACGCCAGCGCCAGCATTCACGTCGAAGAAAATCGGCCGGTGTCCGTGGTCGATAAGGCTCTGGCCAGTGAGGCCCTTCCTCCTCCTCCTCCTCCTCCTCCTCCTCCTCCTCCTCCTCCTCCTCCGCTTCCTCCCCCCACTCCTAGCCCTTTCGATCAGGGTCGGCGGCACCGGCCGTCAGGCCTCTCCAATCGGCCGGTGCCCGTGGTCGATCAGGCTCTGGGCAGCGAGGCCCTCGATGGTGGCGGCGCCGCCGCAGCGCCGAGAGAGAGAGGCCTTGAAGAACCACGGGCACACCGAAAACAGAAAGCAGAAATCCAAAACCTGCCTGCCCAGTGCCAGTCATGGGGGGGGGGGCAGAGGGGGAGGCCTCGGAGGGGAGGGAGGTTTGGTCCAGGGGGCCCGCGAAAGGTCCAGCCTGGGCCAAAGAGTCATGACACGGGCTGTCAGCCTGCAGACAGCACGTGCGGTTCGCGCAGCACGAACGGCACGCTCGACCTCGCCAGACGCTGGCATTGGATGTCTCAGCGCGGCAAGGCGAGCGGCCTGATCAGCACAATCGTTACCATACTTGTGGGCCCGAGCCTCTGGGGACAAGTCAGGTACGTGGCCCTTAACCTTACTGGCAGAGCTAGCTATGGGCCCCAAGGCCTGAAGCACTAAACCCTCGTAGGTGCGGCGAAAAGACAAGCGAGAGGGGATGGGGTCGAGAGCCGCGGTGGCAACATTCAGGCAATCACTGAAGACGTGATTGTCAGTATCACCGCGCTGAGAAGCCATACGATAGGCCGCGACATCAGCAGCCTGTGGGGTTTGGGGGAAGTGCGCAAAGAGAAGGCCCGAAATCACACACTGCACATCCCCCGATTCTGAAACACGAACCACCGACCACCCCGCCCTGGAGAGCTCAGGGGAAATAGTTCTAAAAAATACCGTCTACGTAGAGCCTACCGCTTAGGATGGTGTTGCCGTTGTCTGGGTCTCCCGTCCAGGGTACCTGACATCCAGAGCCTGGGCCGTCTATTTTCATGCGCAAGGCGAGGGAGATAATCACCCGGGTGAACGTGCAACCCACGCGTGTACAAGAGGTATTGCTCAGGATCGCTTTCTTCAGTGAGGTCGGGGGGAGGGCCAAGACAAACACCTCTGACAAGGACTTCGGTACGTGCATCATCACACACAGGGCAATGCCATAATCGGTGGGTGATGGCGTCGTCCGCGCTGCCACACAACTCACATAGAACATCACTCGGTTGATACCCCGCGACGCGAGCACGGGTTGTACTCCACACTGCATCACATGCCAGGGCTTTGATAAAACCCTTCTCCAAAGCAGAAAACCGGGATGACTGCAACATGGCGTAGACCTGATCATGGCAGACACGAACAGGCTGCGGAAGTAGGGGGAGGAGCTTGGCACCAACACGGCGATCATGCAAATGCAAAACAGCCAGCCTCAGATGACGTTTCAAAAGAGCGTGGCTCACCAACGCGAGCGGCAACTCAATCCCGAACTTGTCGCGCATCACCGTGAAACTCGGCATCGTCCAACCTATCCTGCTCAAACTGAGCTTCATGGCACTGATGGGGCCAGTGACCTGCTTCCAGTTGTCGGGTCCTGGACTCGAGAAAGCAGCCTGCCAAGACGATCGGAGCTCCTGCCGTGACAGCGTGAGACTGAACGTGCGCATGTGGGTCCCCCAGAGCTCCTCGGAGTACATCCTGATGGGGGCCATAGGCCCATAGTACGTGGGGCCCCTGTCGAGCACCACTGCCGAAGTAGGCGAGGCCTTGGGCCCAATGCAGCGACCAAAGCCACGACGGGCGATCCCCCATTCCCTGTCGGACACCCCATGAACTTCACGACCAGCATAAAAAAAAACCTGGCAGGGTCCCCGTGAGGAGCAGCTTCCTGGAGTGCCCGCCGAAAGCCTGCCGAATCGTCTGCAGCCGTCTGGTCTTGCGCTTCAGCGTGAGCATGCGAAGCTGGGAAGCCTTGGAACGCCGAGGGGCCCGACGGGGCCGCCCAGAAGCGTGGTCGATCCCAGGGTTGGCTGCAGAAGAAACGACGCGCTTGCCAGCCAACGCTCCCA